ACATGATGGAAGGACAAATTCGACTTTCACAAGTGGTCTTCTGACTGCTGCATGCACACCCACACACGTGCACACAAATGCAGTTTTAAGGAGGAGATTATAAAGAGTAAAAAGGTGCGAGACATACATGTGTGAAGACATCTATGTTTAAGTCCAAGAATAATGCTGGGTGGTGGTGGCACACGCCTTTAATCCCAGCACTTGGGAGGCAGAAGCAGGCAGATCTCTGTGAGTTCAAAGCCAGCCTGGGCTACATAATGAGTTCCAGGACTGGCTCCAAAAACTACAGAGAAACCGTGTCTCAAAAAGAAAAAAAAGAAAAGAAAAGAAAAAAACAGACTGACTTCAAGCTAATTAATTGTAAAATATTGTCTTCTTTATTGAACATTGGAGATACTTCATAAACTTTTTGCTGCTTTTTCTAGCAGATGGTAAGTGTCTTAAGTGCAGGGTTATCTTTTGCAAGGACAGTGCACATATTCTGGTTGTATGTAAAACTGATTCTGAGTACTTTCACAGGCCCATACACTAACCCTTTCTATACCTCTCAGTGGTTACCATGTGCTTCTTTAGATCTGAAAGCTACACTCTAATGATTTCTGTGCCCTTGTTCCTGCTCAGCTGACAGTGTTCTGGAATCAGCCCCTAACCATGCTGGAGTGGATAAAATATTCATGTGTTGTCCTGCCTCATCTAGACTGCTAGAGATGCTCAAGAATTTCTCTCTGGAGTTTACCTCCAAGTTTCCTAGGTCTCAGGGTTCGAACCATTCCATGATCTGCTCCTCACATTTCTCTCGTACTGTTTGTGGGGTTTTGTCTGCTGAAAGCTGGCTGGTGGCATGCAGGGTAAGACTGGTCTAGAATGGAGACCCAGCTACCTCCTGGTGCGTCACTTCACCCTACAGACAGACAGTGCATCTCACCGAGAGAGTAGAAATTGGTTTTCCATCAACCATAGAGCTGGTTGTATAGATTTCATATAACTGGGTAATATTTTGAGGGGTGTGCAAGGTTTAAGGACTGTTACTTAACCAAATTATACAATACAGTATACAAATACAATCTCTATAAAAATGTATTAAAATGAATAGGTCTTGAGATCTGAGCAGGGAGTAGTCTAGATATCATTAAAGAAATGCATTGCCAATGCTTGTAAGCATACAGAATAAACATGAGTGTCTCAAGGGCTGTGAAGGCATGGAAGGGAAGAACAGACTTCAGTGCCAGCGTTTCCTCATGAAAGCGTTCTTCGGGAAACAAGTAGGGGCTTTAAAAGGGCTCAGAACTTTCATCTTCATAAAGAGTTCAGATACTGGTAGCTTTCTTGTTTAAACCCTTTACCTCTGGAGGGAACAGGGTAGAAATGACACCCAGGCCTTCCTGGTCTCCAGGCAGTGGCATCTGAAGTCGGTGAGCTCTGTCCTGCTTACGAACAGCCTATGATGGTTAATGGCTGGGAGGAATAAAGTGAGCCCCATGAGGCACGTCACTCTTGAGGGGACAACACTCAGAAAATAATTCCCTTCCTGGCTTGTTCTGCTAGGCTATTCTACGCAGTACTTATACATGTATTTTATCATACCACACTTTATTTTGTACGCATCTATGTGTAGATGTATGTATGGATTCACTTGCCTGTAGTCGTGCTTCTGAAGGTCAGAGGTCAGCATTGGGTGTCTCTCTCTGTCCTACTCCACCTCAGTTTTTTATAAACAGCTTCTCTCAGAGAGCCTGGAACTTACTGTTTTGGCTAGACTGGCTGGCCAGTAAGCTCCCAGAGTCTGCCTGTTATACCACCCCCACCTCTGGCAGCAGAGTTACAGACATGTTCTGTCATATGACGGCTTCTTACCTAGAGGCTGGGGATCTGAACTCAGCTCTTCAAGCCAGCACAGCGAGCACTTAACCCACGAAGCCGTCTCCACGGTCACACTTGCACCGCGTTGTAAGAACAGAGCCACTGAGGGCGGTGAGTACGTCATCTCACTTTGAAGGCCCGCGCCAGAGTCTGGTCCACCACACACCTTCTTGGGGTGACACTGGCCTCAGAACCGAGTAACCTTTTGACTATGCATCATCTACGTTCTCTCTTTCTTCCTCTCCTGCCTCCTTGTAGCTGCCTGGCCTTGTCTTTGCTGCCTCCATCTTTTTCTGCTTGTTATTCAAGAATATGCTCTGTCCTCAACTTTGAGACCTGATAGTCTTTTCACATTGCCCTCTCCTCTCAGATCGGCCCTTAGTTGACTTTCAAGTTTCTGGGTGACCCCAGCTGACCCTCCCCCAGTGAGTCAAGGATCTCTAATTAGGAGAAAGAAGTGGCTCCTCTCCTAATGGAGAGAGCAGCTGCCACTCCTATCAGAGCCTGTTCTTGTGCAGCCAGGGAAATGAGCAGGGACGGCCGCAGGGGCCGGAGCAGCAGACCCCATAAACAAGCTCAGTTCTTTAACCTCCCTGTGGCGTCGGTGTGCCTGTGGTAGGGGCGAATGGCCATTAGCTTTAAGTTGGGGCTTCCTGGCTTTGTGAAGTCTGATGACCCAAACGTTCTGTGATTGTGTTTGGGCTCTGTGCATTTCCCAGTTTTTACAGGGGTCTGTTTAAAGGAATGAAGAGGGATATTAAATATTTATTTTGGCTGACAAGATAAAGGAGAGCTGCTAGAGGGAAGATAACTGGCAAGTCTGAAATCTAGGCTTGTTTGTCTTCCAGAACTTGCCCATTGTCTGCCTTTGAACGGACGATGCAATAATTAGATAAAAGCATCTTATTATGAGGTTAATTATAATATTTACTTGGAGCATTTTGACGGAAAGATCCTAATCGTGAAAGGAAATGGGATTCCTCCATGAAAGAGAATTATCTCTTTCTTAGAAGGTCAGTGGATTCAGTATTAAGGGTTTCTAGAGAATTCTACCTCTGCCCAGTCAGAATGGCCATCAATGACCCTGTAAGGCGGGCATCCTGTTGTCACTATAGTTCTGGCTCCCAGACAAAGTTTGAAATGTACCTGACTTACCAAGAATGCCATATGTGTGGGGGTACAAGCACACATTGCTCCTATCCTCATTCTCCCCAGCTTCATCTCAGCTCAAGTACCTTCGGGTGCCCGCTCCAGGGTCAAGGCTACGGTAACATGTCGATGGCCGGTGAACCTAGAGACCAAATGGGGGCAAATCCTCACACTATGGAGATGGCATTTGCACAAGTATTCAGCCAGCCTCTCACTAAGGAAATACAGGGCAGAATCAACTGCACTTCAGCCTTTTGCTCAGTGGCACTAACCTTTGTTTGACAAAGACGTGGACCTCCATCAATGTATCTAGTCAGAAAGTGTACCTCTTCTGTTTATGTAATAGCAGGCACCATGCAAAATGGAAGGATAGGCTGCAGATTATGATGGACTGCTAGAGGTACTCACGTGTGTACATGCATGTGCACATACATGTAAACATGCATGCAATGCGGTGGTCAACCATGCTCAAGGAAGGAAAGGAGATGGTTAGGGATAAGGTGGTACTGAATTGGCAGACCTTGGTTGTGCCTTAGATGCAAAGAGGACATGAGATCAGTGCTTGCTCAGCCCGCATTGTGGCAGGGATGATAGGAAAAAGCACAGGATGTGAGAGACAAGCGCTACCTTCCTAAGGCCGTTGCACATGGTCTTCAGGACTCCGAGGGCTAAAGGAATCAGAGGGGACTCTGGAGAAAGAGAGGCCGCAGGCTGATCCTGCAAGAGTTAAGGCTTGCAGATGGTTGGAGAAGAGACCAGGACCGAGGGTACACGGCACACTGCCAGTGAGCCGAAAAGTTGCTTGGGAACAAAGACTCTGGCATACCCAGAACCTGGGCAGTTTCCCCCAGCCCAGAGAATAGCAGGTCGAAAATGACTTTTTAGAAGAATGGAGTCCGAGAGCCACATGCAGGATTCCCATGTGGACAGAAGGAATATGGAACAGCAAGTTGTGTACATGGGGCTTTAGTTTTCCTCTTCTTGTCCTTAGCCTCTGCCCAGGGGACACAGGACACAACCATGTCCAAAGGAATGTGCTTCCAAGTAGGATTATCTTAATGAGCCCATATCGTCAGCTCCGACTTGTGATAGGCAGAGTAAACTGGACGACGCACTCAAGAGAGAAAATGTGTGACGTATCGAGATGGAGAAATAGTCCCAGGAAAGACATGTGACACAGAAGGTGGCCACTGCAGTGCTTCCGGAGCAGCCCTTTGCTCACACACACGTCTCCACACAGAGGCTTCAGTGCTTCTCCATGGCTCCCCTAGCCGGCTCCCACCCAAACCAGACACCACACAGAATGAACACATCCATGCTCTGCACAGTCGTGCCCTGTTCCGGCCTTGCTGCTTGTTTATCTGTGAGGCCTGGCTTCCTGTTTCTCCCCCTTAGCAATCCCTGTCCTCCTTTCCTAGAGATGGGGGGAGGGGATCAAAGGAGCTGTTGGAGACATACCTAGGGTCACAGATGGCACCTGAGAAGCAGGGGGTGACACCACAGCACAGGTGGCTCTCCCCGCCTGCCTCTTCCTTACCGAGCCATCTCCCCGCCTGGGCCACAGGAGTACACTTAAATGTTCCTCAACGTGTACTAGAATGTGCTCGAGCTGGAAGTCAGGAGGCCTCAGCTCTTGTTCCTCTTCTGACCTGGACAGTTGCCTGAACATCAAACTACCCCTCTGCCCTCCTGGATTTCCACAAATTCTTCTGCATGAGCCGGGAGGTGGAGCTAGGTGAACCCTTCCTGGCCCCAGGACTTCTTAGATAGTAGGCTGTGTGTGCAGGACTTCAGGAAGGACAGGAGGTGTGGGGCGGGAGGACGATGCACATTTGCAGGCCCAGTGTGACGGGGTCTTGCTTGAATAAACACGTGGTGACCAGGGTATGAACTTGATGCTTTCTCGGTTGAGCTTCCGGAAGTCCCGTTCGCATGCTCTGCCAAGCTCATCTGGCCCTTTCCTCCTCACCTGTTGGTTTCTTTCTCATCAGAATCATGGAACTGATTGGTTACCACCCCGAGGAGCTCCTTGGCCGCTCTGCCTACGAATTCTACCATGCCCTGGACTCGGAGAACATGACCAAAAGTCACCAGAACTGTAAGTTTCCTGAGTACCCGTGTCCTTGTCATCTGCCCATGAGGAGTATGATTAACAAGACACAGCCTTGGCCTCCCACGGTCACCATCTTAGGTGGCACATGAAGTAGATGCCATCAGGATGGTCAGAGAGTCACAGCTGCCAGCAGCCTGTAGATGATTTCATGCAAATTAAGAAAAAGACTCCGAGGTCCTCGTAGGCAGTCAAGTACCCCAGCATAAGGAGGGGTCTGGGAGAGTTCAGAAGGGAGTGGGCTAGCTCTGGATCGGTTGTAAGGGCAGAGGAGGGCGGAGCTAAACAGAGGAGAGAGTGTGAAGGGGTGGGGCTGTCCAGGTAGCACAGTGTAAGCATGGGGCGAAGGCCTGGACCGTGAGGGACCTGGACCGAAAATGTCCAGCCCAACCTCTCTCGTGGAACCATTGTGTCCTCATAGGTCACACATGACCTAGGTTCATAGGTCACACATGACCTAGGTGGTACTTGACATGTGGCTGATGCAATGAGACACTTATTTCTAAGTTGAATTTTTAAAGAATTTAGTGGCTTTTCTTGGCATGTGGTCGCCTTCTTGAAGACGGTGGTTCTGTAGTGTTCCCTTAGCCAGCTTCCCAATGTAGTCTTCCCATGTGTAGATGCTCCAAGGTAATGTCTTGCCCTCTGAAGACTAGGAATTGACAGACTTCATCTCTTCTGTAAGGGGTCTTATTTCAGAGGGGAAAAGAGGCTGGGCTCCCTGAAGTTGGCTGGCCTCTAACCTCAGCATCTCTCACAGTGTCTGGGGCACCAAGTGAACGTTAATTTCAGAAACAAAAATATATTTGGGAGAGAGAGCATGACACTGGTACAGACAGGGTTGATGAGAGTGTGGGATAGGAGATTCAAATGGGTAAAACCCTGAGATGCTTCCCAGGAGCCCTAATGACAACATAGGAAACAGGTCCTAGTCCCGAGTCTGTTTCCCTTTCCTCTGCCTCCCAGTCAGGACAGCTGGAGCTCAGATCCTCTAAGCAGCAACTCCACAAGCTACATACAGCATGGAGAGAGGGGTGGGGGAGTTTCTCCCTGTTCTCCCTGTGACATTTGGGTTTCATCTGATCTAATAATACAGCAGGAAGCGTTATGGTATCTCAGACAGTCTCTCACTGTGATCTCTGGCAAAAATCCCCAAATATCCAAACACAAAAAGCCTCTATCCAACCCCACTCAGGGGCCCAGGGATGGCAGAAAGAGACCAGGGTGCTCCCGGAAGCCATGACTGTGACCCAACTAGAGACTGTAGCCTTCTCTTGAAGGGTTTAATGCTTTTGTGCTTCCTAGAGGTTTCCCACTCCCATGGCAGGTTGGATAAGATACACAGCTGCACTCTGCCCAGCCCTGGCCTCGCTTACCAGCTAGTGTCTCGGGGTCTGCCTTCCTTCCTTCCTTAGCCTTCTAAGCCAAGGGATCTGTCAAAACAGGGAGGCAAGGACTTTTTTTTTTTTAAGCATCTGGGAATTCTGGGATTGAATTGAATCTGAATTGAATTCTTGGAGGACAGTATTGTACTTTTTCATCAGGGGAGAGGTGAACAGAAGGACACAGTGGAATGTGCAGATAGCTAATGGACTTCTCACCAGGCAGGCATAGGAAAAGGCTCCTCCCTCTTTAGAACGCTGTGTTCTATAAAAAAGAGCTAGCCAAAAAGAAAAGAAAAAGAAAAAAAAGTTGGTCCTATTCGTTTTGAGGATGACTCCTGGGGGAAATACATGGAAAAACTTTTTGGTTGGATGTTGTTTTTACTTAATCCGTATATTTAATCTCCCAGCACACTTAAAGATAACTCACGGTCTAAATAGAAAGTACAGACTCTGGGTTTTGTCTTTTGTTTCTGGTTGTGGTTGTTCCCCGGTGGAGGTGGGTAAAGCTGCCCTGAGCACAGAGGCCTCTGCTTGAGAGCACTACAGCACGCTGAGTTTAAATGGGCTGGAAACAGCGTCAGTGGTGACAGGAGTGTCCCCATCCCACCTGCCCCTGCAATACAGCTACACTCATCCCTGCCAAGGCGGAGGCTTAGGTTCGAAGCAGGTCTAAGTTACATGTCTCCAATTCATCCCCGTGTGCCTCTCAGCCTGTACGTGTTTCCCACCAAAATGCCTGGAGAAGCTCAGTCTTCAAGCAGATTTAGATAATTGAAAGTCATCATTTCCAAATGGATTAATAATTTATACATCTTTACTCTCAAAGGAGGGGTTGGAGTGGCTTCTCTTTGTTGTGCTCTTAGGAAAACAAGATTAAAGGCCATAAAAGGCCTATCTCCCTACCAAGTAGCAGGCCCCTCACCAAGGCTGGCGTTAATGAGATGATTAGGATGCTGGTGTGAATTAGATTCTGCTGACCGGAGCAGGCGTTTGCCTGCAATTACTGGAAATGCAGTTGCAAGCTCTGCTTGGTGAACTGTTTCATCAGAAAGACTAAGAGCCTTGAGTGTGGTTTGCATTAAGAACTGTCTAAATGAGTTAACTTCAGACTTGAAATTGTGCGAGAATTGTTTCCCTTGCAGCTAAAGAGGGTCTCCATAGCACCAAAAAAAGGACAGCAGAAAAGACAAGAGTTCCTTCTTTGCCCCAGAAGTCCATGTTGGTTTAACCAAGTGGCCATAACAGACTTTGCTTTCTCGCTTGTTTCTGGGCTCAGACATAATGTAGTCAGGGAGGACTGATTGCCTTGGGAATCGGAAGACCCACTACCTGTTTCAAGGCTGTCCTATTGTCTCGTGCATTGTGAAGTGAGTCAAGCCTTCCCACCCTGAGTCCTGAGTCTCCTCACGTTAAAGGGTGATGTCGTTCCTCCCTACAGCCCAATATTCCATCGGAAAGATTAGATTAGGATGACTCAACCACTCTGAAAAATAATTCGGCTGTTGCTGATAATAAAAGCATGATCTTAGCATATAATCTAGAAGTTTCACTTCTTACTAAACTCTTGTGAGAAATGAAATGACCGTCAAACAAAGATTTGGGCACAGATGTGTATTGCAGTGTTATTCACAACAACTGAAAACTCAAATATCCAGACGGAGGAACGAACTAGCTACGGTTTATCCATAGACTGAGGTACTACTCCCCCATGAAAAGGGAGGAGACAGAAGAAACATCTATCCAAACGGAGAGATGAACTAACTATGGTTTATCCATAGAATGAGGTACTACTCCCCCATGAAAAGGGAGAAGACAGAAGAAACATCTGCAATAACATGGACCTCAAAAACATGCTGATGGGCATTCGTCTTTCCCGCCCCACACTTGCTACCTCGCGATACTTTGCTGGTTTCTCCCTCTTTCCTTTTTCCTTTCTGTCACCACCATGCCATCCAGACTGAGGAAGGCCCCGGAAACTCCGGGGCCACGTGAGCCACAGCCATGGCCGCATTGGTAAACACTGCAAGCATCCGTGAGGACGCGGGAACGCTGGAGGCATGCATCATCACAGGATCAACTTCGACAAATATCATCCAGGTTACTTCGGGAAAGTTGGGATGAGGCATTACCACTTAAAGAGGAACCAGAGCTTCTGCCCGACGTCAACCTGGATAAGCTGTGGACACTGGTCAGTGAGCAGACCCGGGTCAACGCTGCCAAGAACAAAACTGGAGTTGCTCCTATCATTGATGTCGTCTGATCGGGCTACTACAAAGTTCTGGGGAAGGGAAAGCTCCCTAAGCAGCCTGTCATCGTGAAAGCCAAATTTTTCAGCAGAAGAGCTGAAGAAAAGATAAAGGGTGTTGGAGGTGCCTGTGTTCTGGTGTCTTGAAGCCACTCAGGGAGGTCAATTAAATGCTAATACTTTCCAAAAAAAAAACATGCTGATCAAGTATAATGACATCATGCCATTGAAATAAGTTTGAATGACCTTATAAAAAGTCTAGGAAGGGTAAGAGATGGTGACAGACAAGTCAGGGAGCAGAGGTTGGAACTAGGATTAGTTAGCAATATGGGCATTGGCTCTGAGGGAGATGGAGGGTTTGTGCCTTCGCCAAGGTGATGGCTAGATAGGTGTCTACAATTGTCAACTCATTGCACTGTATGCTTAAAATGGGTACATTTCCATGAAGGCAAATGAAAACCCACTAAAGCTCGTTACAGAAAGGCAAAGAAAGGTGAAAATGGGAATCTAATTTAGACTTCTAAATCTGAGACTTCCATGCAGGTCAGCAATTATGCTTAGCCAAAGGAAATTTGTGAGGGCTGCAGTCACTGCAGATGTGAAACAGGTGTTCACATGCTAATGATAACCAACACTGTCACTTGTCTTGACACTGGTTCCCAGAGGCACACTGTTTACCAGGCCCTGAGCTTGAATTCATCTCCCAAGGCAGATTTGGACTCTGTGGAGCAATTCATATATGTAATTCTCAGTCATTCCTGCCCCCTTGCTGGTGCTGGTTAAGGTTTTCAAGAGGATAAGAAGTGCCAAGACACAGGGACTATGATGAACATGACTATGACAAGGCTGCGTCTTTCTACCATGTGGGACCAATGAACAGGAAGATGGCCCATGAGCTGACCGGGAAACCTGGGGAGATGCCTGGATGTTTTCCCACAGAGCCTCCTGAGACAGGGCCTGTAAACAGTTCTGAGCACTGTAACCCAAGCACTGGACAGTAGTAGCTTAGGAAAGAGGAGACTCTAAACAACATCTGTGCGGCTGACGGGGTAGGCCAGTCCATCTGATGCTCAGCAGGAACCGCGGTAGCATCCTGGACGGTTGATAACGACAGTGATGAACAGTACTATTATTCTTAATACCACAGTTTGCAGAGGAGGAAACCACACCAGGACTGTTCCTTCCCCCAAAGTCCCCCAGCCAGCAAGACTTCCTGATCCTCCCACCATACCTCTACCCAGTTCTCTGTGACCTGGGCTCTTCTGGGCTCGAGCTCCGAACAATGAAATCCCAGGGGATGAAAGTCAAGTGGACAGTTTAAAAAGGCTAGCGGACGTTTCTAAAGGCAGCAGACATTAGTGAAAAGGAGCTCTTGAGCTTGCGTGAACAAAACTGGAAAATGCATCTGGAGATGGGAAAGAGGACCCCCCTCCCCTGGTGTTTTTAGACAGTGATAACACATGAGAAAATGAACTCTTAGAACAATCTAGAAAAAGAACGAACTCCAAGCTGGTAGTCTCAGTGGGCAGTGGGGAGGCAAGTTTGAAGAACTCCCAGTGGCCAAGGAGGAGGAGGCTGAGAGAAGTGCTGGTCCTGGTTATAGGCTTTTCTTGACCCCAGCTGAAGGGTGCAGTAGTTTATCTAATACTGTCCACATCCCCTAAGGTGACAGACCTAACAAGTGCAAAGGTCATGATTTTTAAAAACCAGACCTCAGCTAGTCTCATGGCACAACCCCGAGTCCCAGTTATTCTGGTGACTAAGGCAGAAGAATCATTAAGCTTAAGGCTTGCTTGGGCTACGAAGTGAGTTCAAGGCCAGCCTGACCAATACAGAGACCTTGTGTTAAAATGAAAGCAGACAGTTGGGTTTGCAAGTCCAGCATGTGGGTGACCCTCTGTCTGTCCTTCAGTCAGGGAATGATGATGGGTCCGCACCCATGCAGCTGACCTTTCTCCAAGATGCATTCTAGCCCCTGCTGCCTGCAGAGGATGAAGCCCGTGAAGAAAGTAGGGTGCTGTTCTTGGTTATAATTTCCACTGAGCTGCCTGGGAGTTTGATAGCGGGGAGTGGGTCATTCCCGCACTGGGCAGGCAGTGCTCTGCTTTCCTTTCCTAAAACAAAGGTCATGCTGACATGACCTCCAGCCTCGCTCCTAGCTCAGTCTTTCCAGTCCCCTGTGTCTATCTGGCAGCCCTGCCCACCCCACCCCTCCCCTGGCAGGTGATACTTCCTGTGGGACCTGAGTGTGTGCTGTGCACTGCTCCCCCACATCCCTTACCTTTGCCCCCTTTCTTCCCTAGTGTGCACCAAGGGGCAGGTGGTGTCTGGCCAGTACCGGATGCTAGCAAAACATGGAGGCTATGTGTGGCTGGAGACCCAGGGGACAGTCATCTACAACCCCCGCAACCTGCAACCCCAGTGTATCATGTGTGTCAACTATGTCCTGAGGTGAGTGGGGGGGTGGGCACCAGCCTCCGCTCTGGGTGCTACCTCTAAAAGCTGTTTGCTGGAGGAATCCTTCTGAGATCTTAGAAGGAGAACTCTTGACATTCCTAATCCACCTTCCGCCTTGTTTGTTATGGTGTCGTGTCTCTGACTGTGTTGTGGGGAGAAGATTGTACACAGTAGTTGCTTAATATTGTGTGGATGGGAAACAGGAGAGCTGCTCCTGCTTTTGGGGGAGACTCAGATGTTGTGCCTTCTTCCCCCCACCATGCCTGGGAAAAACACCAGAGGCAGCCATTGCTAGTATGAAGGAGACTGACATAGCATCCAGGCGTCTTGTGCGCCAGCCGCGCGCGCAGCCATCTGAAGCAGCCCATGGGGAGAGGTTATTCTCATTGTCTCTGCCTCCGTGCCTAACAGACTTGGACTCTTTCCAAATTGCCAACAGTATCTCTGCCCATCTCTTTTGTCTACGAGGGTTAGCTATCAGGCTTTCTACATATCTGGGGGAGCTAAAGGCTTTGGCTAGACATCTGCAGAAACCCTGACCAGCTCTCTCATGCCGGTAGTGAGATTGAGAAGAACGATGTGGTGTTCTCCATGGACCAGACCGAGTCCCTGTTCAGGCCCCACCTGATGGCCATGAACGGCATCTTCGACAGCAGTGGTGGCGTAGCTGGATCTGAGAAGAGTAACTACCTGTTCACCAAGCTGAAGGAGGAGCCCGAGGAGCTAGCTCAGCTGGCCCCCACCCCGGGAGATGCCATTATTTCTCTGGATTTTGGTGGGTACTTCCTAGCCCTAGTTGAACTCCCTTAGACTGGGCACAGTTCTTCTTATGGCAAACCTCTGCAGCCGTACATTCGCTAGACCAGAGCCACACCCTGCCCTTGTGCCAATCACTTGTTCATGGTCAGGCTCTGCTGGGCACAAAAGAACCACAAACTCCCTGGCCACTGAGTTATATGTCCTCGTGAAGTGGTGGCGGGCTATGAGAAGGGTCCATTCTCCACCTGGCTGTGGGAGTTTGAGCTGAGGGAGAGAGGATTTTTCTGGGTATATCCAGAGAGACGATAGGGCCCCTCATGTATCATCTCAAAGAGGATGCCCTTATTTAAGTGGAAGGCTAAGGAAGGAATAAGGCCAAGAACACCCAGTGGGGAGAAAATTCAGGCCCAGGATGAAGTCCCCAAGATCGTCCACATTAGAATGGTCACCTGTCTCACTAGAAGCCAAGTTACTGTGGTCCAGGCAGAGTTCTCAGGTATTTCAACTTTTTGTTGTGTACACCCAAAGGCCTCTTCCAGTTCATACCCTTCCCCCTAGCCCGATCCGGACTGTAGGTCTTTGCATTCACTCACCCCTTGATAACGTGCATTTGAGAGGAAAATTGATACCTCACCGAATTCCAAAGGGCACTGAGCCCTTGCATGAGATACCTCGCAGCCCCAGATTGGTGGTGACACTAAGGCAAATGGCCGCATTCTTTTCTGGTAATTTCCTCATCTACATTCTGGAGTGCTCTGCAGGGAGCAACTGCTTCCAGTAGGTTTAGTCGGTTCTGAAAGCCAAACGCTGTTAGAAATGGCTCTCGTTGTAAGGAGTCCCCATATTGAACCACAGCTCTGGTCAGCAGCTCTTGGGTCCTAGCAAGGCTCCAGGGTACAGAGGGTGTCAATCCCAGGTCCACTTTCAGGACTGTTTTAGGACCTTTGTGAATCTTCTGGGCTTCTTCCTCCCTGGGCTGAGCCTCAACCTCACGAATGTCCACCATGCATGTCTTGTCTTTATAGGAAGCCAGAACTTTGATGAGTCCTCAGCCTATGGCAAGGCCGTGCTGCCCCCAGGTCAGCCATGGGCTGCAGAGCTGAGCCACAGTGCCCAGAGTGAGTCCGGGAGCCTGCCTGCCTTCACTGTGCCCCAGGCGGGCACCCCAGGGAACACCACACCCAGTGCTACAAGCAGCAGCAGCTGCTCCACGGTGAGCCCCACCCTCCGGGGAGTAGGCAGAGTGGGTGGTTCTGCTCTGCTGCCAGAGGACAGAAAAGACATCCTGAGAAGTACTGTCCCCCTCCCGTTATTGCAGTACTCCCTAAGAACGGCTGTGACGCTCATCCACCAGGGCCTGTAGAGCTAACTGCTGCCTCCACTCCTAGCGAAGCAGGGATGCCTGAAATTGCAGTGAGACCCGAGTTTGGTCTCTGCATACAGAAGGCTTCAGTCACAGAGCCCTGTTGGCCACAGCCACTATCCAGTGTGCAGCTCAGGACACACTAGGACCGCGGTTCTCAACTTGTGGGTTGTGATGCCAGGGGTTGAACAACCCTTTTACAGGGGTCACTTAAGACCACCAGAAAACACAAATATTTACATTACAATTCAGAACAGTAGCAATATTTACAGTTATGAAGTAGCAACAAAAATAGTTTTGTGGTTGGGGGTCACCACAACAGGAGGAACTGTGTTAAAGGGTCACAGCATTAGGAAGGTTGAGGACCCCTGCTCTAGGAAGTGATGCAAACATCTTATGAGGAGACCAAGGTTCAGAGAGGGTGATGAAGGGATCTACTTCATACCACTTGTCAATAGTAGAGCCCCCTTCATAGATACGTGGTGGAATGGGGAGGAATGAGCCAGGAACCATGCTTGTCTGTTGACACTGGACTTCTGGGGAGACAACACCATGTTCTTGACTTGGTCGGCTCCTCGGTTTCTAGCCCAGCAGCCCTGCGGACTACTACTCTTCTCTGGAGGATCACTTGAAGATGGAAGTGATTGAGAAGCTCTTTGCCATGGACACGGAGGCAAAGGACCAGTGCAACACCCAGGTAGGCTCTGTGTGGGTGATAAAGGCTCCTGCATCCCCTTGCGGAGGTCCCGGGGATACTGAGCAAAGCCTTGGGGACAGAGAGCTTGCCATCACCCTTCCTCCCACCTTTTCACCGCTTGGTCCTGCGCTTCTGTTTCTAACTCTCAACTTGATCTCCTCCTTCCTTAGACAGCTGCCTTTACACACGTGCCAGACTGAAACCACGCTACCAGACCTGTAGAGAGGCGTGTCCAGATTCTTCAACCAATGCATTTTAAAAAACCATTTCACTTTAAATACTTAAAAAAAAATGACAGACAAAGGTGCTCCTGGGTTGTATATTCAATGACAGTTTACTGCACAAGGTCACATGCTCTTGCACAAACATAAGTGGAGGAGGTGGGAGGACGTGGTGATGGCCAGCATGCTAGGGGCAATCCCCACCTCAGTCTGTCTCAGGCCCAGTTCTCCATCCAGGCTTGTGGCTTGCTCCTCTGCGCGTGTCTCTTTTCCTGGGTGCGAACAGGCAGTGTTGCTGCAGTAACAGTCTCTGGGTGCTAGTTACAGAGGTCTGCCTGTCTGTAGGGAGGGGTCAGTCCCCACAGCTCATGTCTCTGTTTATGAGTGTTCCGCTGTGACAATGGGAACACGATGCAGGGTCTCTGGGTACCTGCTGGTGAGGATGGCAGGCCCTTTACAGGGCTGCGAGGGAGGGGAAGGTAAGCTGTCCTTCATCTCAGGAGCTCACGTGTAGCCAGAATAGTATGAAGGGGCAGCCCATGCTGTGGAGGCAGGGGGCTTGCCTGACTGAAAGAGAATGGAATGAGAAGGCTTTGCAGGTCAGGGGTGGAAGCTCACAATACTGAGTGAGGGGATACATACATGGGAAGCTTACTATCACGACAGAAACTCTTGCACCCTTGACGGCAAACCTGAGACTTTCCAACAGGAGAATTTGGATGGGGGACTGACCCATTTTAAAAGGCCTGGGATGGGGCTGGAGAGATGGCTCAGAGGGTAAGAGCATTGCCTGCTCTTCCAAAGGCCCTGAGTTCAATTCCCGGCAACCACATGGTGGCTCACAACCATCTGTAATGAGGTCTGGTGCCCTCTTCTGGCCTGCAGGCATACACACAGAAAGAATATTGTATACATAATAAATAAATAAAAATATTTAAAAAAAAAATAAAAAATAAATAAAAGGCCTGGGATGGACATGGGATGGGCAGTCACCGCAATTCGTCTTTGCTCTTTTCTTCTCAGACCGATTTCAATGAGCTGGACCTGGAGACTCTGGCACCCTACATCCCAATGGATGGGGAAGACTTCCAGCTAAGCCCAATCTGCCCGGAGGAGCCACACATGCCAGAGAGTCCCCAGCCCAATGCCCAGCACTGCTTTAGTACCATGACAAGCATCTTCCAGCCACTAGCCCCGGGGGCCGCCCACAGCCCCTTCTTCCTGGACAAGTACCCACAGCAGCTGGAGAGCAGGAAGACGGAGCCTGAGCACTGGCCTATGTCTTCCATCTTCTTTGACCCTGGGGACAAAGGGTCCCTGCCACCATGCTGTGGCCAGGCCAGTACTCCTCTCTCTTCTATGGGAGGCAGATCCAACACTCAGTGGCCTCCAGACCCACCATTACAGTTTGGGCCCACCAAGTGGCCTGCTGACGATCAGAACGCCGAGGCCCTGGGGGCTCTGCCATTGGGGCCATCACAGCTGGAGCCTCCCAACACCTCACCCCATGTCTCCATGTTCAAGATGAGGTCAGTGACAGATGCCTGGCCGGAAGGACCTTACTGGGCAGGGAGAAGACATAGGTACACATCCCCTAGTGGGTGCTCAGGAGCCCCCCCCCCCATGGGCTTCCTACCCCACCATATCCCCTCACTCTGCAGCAGCCGGCGCTCTATCTACCTAGCTAGGGAGCTGACATTGAAGGGCAAAATCCCAGGAGAAAGGAGGAAGGGCTTACAACCTGGTGTCTATCTTTAGATCACCCCAAGGGAACTTTACTTACCTAGGGTTCATCTTTGGGCACAAACAGGTATTTGAGTGACAGTTTCTCCATTCTCTCCACACTCCTGTGCTTTCTACCCAAGAGCCTTTATGGGGTACATGCAGGTGCTAGCGTTTCCTATCTCACACACACCAGGTGCTCACTGGACTATGTCCCAGAAGCCGAAGTGTGTTGTCTGTAGTGTGTGCCTTTTGTAATTAGGTGCCCCAAACAGTCTTCGGGTGGGAGGCACTGGGCAGAAATCCTTGTAGAGACTGATGTCATCCAGCAGGACAGACTCCCAGGAGGGCAGGACTGCCTGAGAGTAGCTGAGGTAAAATAAGTGTGTGGAAGGAGGTACAGGTGACGGCAGGCTTTGGCATCTCACCAGGTAGAGGAGCAGAAGGCAGACACGGCTGGTCAGGTCCTTTGGCACTCTGCATTCTGGGTCCATAAAGCACCTTTGTCATAAGTATTGGGTCCAGGTGAAGACGCCAGGTGGGAGACCATGACCCTCTCGCACCTACTCCTACTCCCTCTTCTTGGCAGATCTGCAAAGGACTTCGGGGCTCGCAGCCCCTACATGATGAGTCCAGCCATGATAGCCCTCTCCAACAAGCTGAAGCTAAAGCGCCAGCTGGAGTATGAGGAGCAAGGCTTCCAAGACACAAGTGGGGTAAGCCACCTCTTCACTGTGAATACCATGGGCGCCTCAACCCCGCTGGGCAGGAGGTAGGGCTAAGAAAAAGATGCAGACAGCTCCTTCCGGTGGTGAGCACCCTCCTGTGTCTGCCCCTGCTGGGTCTGTGTGGTGCCCCCACCCCACTCCACCCCCGACCCTCTTCCTCCAGCTACACTTCACATCCACAGGGGGACCCTCCGGGCACCAGCAGCAGTTCCCATCTGATGTGGAAACGTATGAAGAGCCTCATGGGGAGGACCTGTCCTCTGATGCCTGACAAGACCATCAGTACGAATGTGGCCCCTGGTAAGCAGGCCTGAACCAGGCGTCTGGTGAAGGGTTGGAGGCTCAGGGCCCGTTCCCTGAGTCTTGTTAGATGGGCTATGCCCATGCCATGAGCGGGGCTCCAGGTTCTAAGGTCTCTCCATGACCTCTGAAAAGAAAAAGAAGGCCGAGAGCTACTCCCTGTCTTATCAGGCAGCACCAACTCACTCTCTGGCTTGGATCTTCCAGATGAATTCACCCAAAACTCCATGAGAGGCCTGGGTCAGCCACTGAGACACCTGCCACCCCCACAACCACCATCTGCCATGAGCCCAGGAGAAAATCCCAAGAGTGGGTTCCCGCCACAGGGCTACGCCTCACAGTTCCAGGACTTCCGTCCTCCAGGAGCCCCAAAGGTGTCAGGTGAGTGTTGGAGACTCACACCTGCACGCAGGTGGCCTGGATGGACAGGAAGCTGGGTGGGAAGCAGCCGCTCACATAGCAGCTCGGCATTTGGACAACAGGCCGTATTCAAGTCTCAGACAACTGGTTAGAGTCCACAGGGCTCTTCACCCAGTCAGGCTGCATGAGCTTGGGTTAGCCAGGACCTGCTTGATATCAGGCCAGGAAGGGTTTGACAGTGACTTGTTCAAAGAGCCCCTTGAAGACGCCCTCAGAGAGGACCTGAACTGAGGGACAGGAGAAGGAGAAAGGGCTCTCTGGCCCCAGAGAGCGGGCAGAACTACAGCCACTTCTGACTAATTCAGGCCGGGGAGGCTTTGGAAAGGAGGTGGCGAGGATGGTGAAGAGCCCAGGGCTGGGATGGACTTCTGAGCAAGACAGCTGGTGTGGGATGGGCCATTCAGACAAGCTGGCTGCCGTGGGAAGATGGATGGGCCATTCAGACAAGCTGGCTGCCGTGGGAAGGTGGATGGGCCATGCAGACAAGCTGGCTGCTTTGGGAAGGTGGGATGGGCCATGCAGACAAGCTGGCTGCTTTGGGAAGGTGGGATGGGCCATGCAGACAAGCTGGCTGCCATGGGAAGGTGGATGGGCCATGCAGACAAGCTGGCTGCCTTGGGAAGGTGGATGGGTCATGCAGACAAGCTGGCTGCCTTGGGAAGGTGGATGGGCCATGCAGACAAGCTGGCTGCTTTGGGAAGGTGGGATGGGCCATGCAGAGAAGCTGGCTGCTTTGGGAAGGTGGGATGGGCCATGCAGAGAAGCTGGCTGCTTTGTGAAGGTGGGATGGGCCATGCAGACAAGCTGGCTGCTTTGTGAAGGTGGGATGGGCCATGCAGACAAGCTGGCTGCTTTGGGAAGGTGGGATGGGCCATGCAGACAAGCTGGCTGCTTTGGGAAGGTGGATGGGCCATGCAGACAAGCTGGCTGCTTTGGGAAGGTGGGATGGGCCATGCAGACAAGCTGGCTGCTTTGGGAAGGTGGGATGGGCCATGCAGACAAGCTGGCTGCCATGGGAAATGGGTAGCAAGGCTCCATGTCTACGAATCCTCCAGTAATTCAGTCACTTGCAGGCTCTGGGCACCGTAAGACCAGAAGTCTCTGTCTTTCCTTAGCTCCTCCTGGCCTGAAGTGCACACACACAGCACTCTGGGGCATCTCTCTAGAAGCATGCACAGGGACCCACTGACAGGAGGGTGGCTTGGTAATAATCTCGAAAGTTCAGCTGTTGCCACCAAACAGATATGTTCCCACAGAAGCCTCTGTTTGTCACAGTTTGTGGTCTTGGGGGAGGGGGTGAAAATCCCAGAGTCTTGTCTACAGTAGTATAGTTGGGAGACATTTATAGGTGTGTTCTCAGTCTGTGGAACCCCAAAAGCCCTGGGCAGCAGGTGGGCTAGCAAACCCGAAGGTTTAAAGGAGAGAACCATGCGTCGCTCACTCCCTGGTATACATCTGGTCAGCAGCAGTCAGCAAATGACCAGTTTCCCCAGTGGTTAAAACCACAGCCAAAATAATTTCAATTTAGAGCATTTTCTGACCATGACTGAAAGAAGAGGTGAAATTAACAAGGGGTGGGGTATCTGTTCATAGGTGTGTAGGCAAGAAGGGGAAGCAGGTGGACCCCAGGAGGGAGAGGTCCCCAGGATATGGCTCTGTACCTAAGCTATGAGACCCCTGCTGCCACTTCTACCTGCCTTGGATCTCAGCACTGCTGAGACACGCTCTCTTCTCTGAATGGGAAGTGGAGCCCAGGGCAAGAGGGCTGTGGCACCTGACGTTCCTGGCCTGGCAGCTGGAGATGTCAATCTTTCCACGAGTGCCCTCGTCCTGACTGTCTACAGTGGAGTAGGAACTGTGTCAGGGCTTGGGTCAGGCTTTTAAAACTGCCTCCCCTCCCCTTCTCATAGGCATGGCGAGCCGACTGCTGGGGCCGTCGCTGGAACCTTACCTGTTGCCGGAACTGACCAGATATGACTGTGAGGTGAACGTCCCTGTGCCGGGAAGTTCCACACTCCTGCAGGGGAGAGACCTTCTCAGAGCCCTGGATCAAGCCACCTGAGCCAGGGCCTTCGGCCGGGCATGCTCCTGCCCGGCCATCCTGTCCTGCCAGCTTCACCTTCCGTCTGTGTTGCAACTAGGTATATCTAACACCAGCACACTTCTTAAGAGATGTACTGACCGGGGCCGGTCTGCCCAGGTCACCAAGCCGTGGCCTTTATCTGACATGCTCACTTGATTATCTGTGTTTTAAAAATACATACTTGTTTTACCGTCGATGAAAATGTTCTGAAATTTTATAAGATTTCCCCCTCCCTCCCTTGACTTATTTCTAATTTATATTCCCCAAAGGTTTCTCTCTCACACTCAGTATCCCTACTAACAGTCATGGTGGATGTTGGCTCTCCTGCTAGGGAAAGCTTTGGCTCCGTTCAGCGGAAGTGCGTTTGTCATTGTTGCCAAAGAGAAGAGTTTTCCTTTTCGAACCCCACTGTGGATTCTCTCTGTCTCTCTGTCGTCTCTCTCTCTCTGTCTCTTTCCCTCACACACACACCCAATCACCATATTGTAAAAAGCCAGTTCTTTGCTCTGATTTTGATCTGACTTGCGGGGCAGGAAAGCAATGTGAAGGGTAAACTCCAGAGTTACCTGTGAAGCTACACAGTGGCCTTCCTGAACCATGATGTCTCCCATCTCACCCCAGGTTCAGTGGATTTTTACTATTATTATTACTCTAAAGCAAAACTGAGAGTTTTTTTTTAAGGAAAATTTATATCTGGGTTTGGTGTTTTTCATATATATGGGTACTTTTAATATCTAAAAACTTAGAAATGGACTCCTGCTCACAAAATCACTTTTAAGATCTCATTAGGGCTGTTCTTGTTATTCTTCTCGGTGTTCTGCACACTGTAGAACTGTATAGTACTCCCACAGGCCTGTACTAACTCCGCTACGGATCCCCTGCCCCACCACTCTCTCTGGTGACCTTTTGCTTTGGCCTGTTGCTATGCCATAGATGTGGAGTCACTAAGGGGGAGCGTGGCAAGCTCTCGTCTCTCCTCTTGTTCACTGTGTGTTATGTACGTATGCATTGTCATTGCTGCCACGTGGGGGATGGGCAGGAAGTGCTTTCACTTTTTTCAGGTGACGTTGCTAGCCCTTCAAGTGCACCAAGCTACGCTACGCGACCTGTCTCTCTCTCATGCGGCACATTTGGGTATTTCCACAGCTACCATGAAATGGTTTGAATGGGAATTCACAAAGCAAGTAGGGATTCACAAATAATATAGTGACCCAGTCCCTGGAGAGCTAAACTGGGAGATGGTGCCAGGTCTGACCAGCCCTGCACCGCGCCACAGCCCACAGCTTGCAGGGCAGAGGGTCCTGCAAAGCCAAGGTGCAGCGCCCCCTGCTGGTGAATAGCCGGCAGACCTCCAGGGATAGCCTCTAGCTGAGGTCTCAGTCACATGAAGTGACATGAATAGGTAGAAAGCACTGAAAATACTGGTCCCAGAGCACTTTGTAACTCACTGGGGAGGAGGTAGGCCACGTTTTGGGTGTGTGATACCAATCGACATACAATGTTGTTGACTTGGGTACAATAAAACTTTAAATACATACAAAGTCCATCAGGCCAAAATGCAGTAAGCCTAAAGGGACTTACTGCTCCAACCAAAAATTAACTTTCAAAGTCAGCCTAGCTAAAAGTATCTAGGCATGGTGTTGTCCAAGTCACACATTGGTCCACGGTGTGGCCTGACACGCGGTGAGAGAACATAAAGGGTTATTGACATGTAAATGCTGGTATTTGATTTCCTGTGTTGTTGCCTCAGCATTAAGGGCATTTTCCCTTTGCAGTTTTACTAAAAAACAAAAACAGAAAACACTGAGAAATATTCCAAGCTTCACATTAACCTTTCTTGTCAATGTAACAACTTCGAACATTACTGCATTGTCAAATTCCTACTGACGGCATTGTAACTGTCTGGGAGCTTAACTTTATAAGGAAATGTATTTTGACACTGATATCTTATTAAAGTATTCTGATCCTATGCCTGCTGGTGCCTCTCATTTCCTCTGCATTTATCATGGGCTGTGCCAACGGAAAATTAAGTCCTTACCCAACAGCATACAGAAAATGAGCACTGGAACCAAACTGGACCAGATGGTTAAGACCAAACCGACAAGAAGTCTGAAGAAGGAATGAAGACATCCTTTTCTCTGTAAGCTAGAAAAGAAGGGAAGAAGCCGTAGTTTCTGCCTTCCGAAATCCACATGAGATACTCAGGAGCATGCTGGTCCTTGTGTCTTCATGTTGTACATCCAGAAGTTCCGAGGAGCTCGAATGCGCGAGTGGCTGCAGAGGGCAGCAGGTCCTGTGACCATGACAGGCCTCGAAGGCAGCCAGTCCCAGGCAGGAGCCCACTAGGGGCAGTAAGGCCCCAGCAGGGAGTCACATGGCTGGTGAGAGACTGAGAGCAAGCAAGTGCCAGGCAGGGAGCCGCATGGTGGGTGATGGTACTGTTCCCCAAGTGGGTCCTGAGACCATGCCTCAGGTCCCTGAAGGCAGTTAGTCCTGGGCAGGGAGCCATGCAGTAGGTGAGAGACAGAGACATGGATAGGCATGCCATGCAGAATGAGGTTGGATATTAATTTAGTGGGTTATGGAAGGGAAGAGGAGAGAGGGGGGATGGGGAGAAGTAAGGGAGAATGGAGTTGTCTCTTCCAGACAGGGAGGGGGTGGGTGTGGCTTGTCTCTTAAAGGGACAGGACAGAACATTACTTTTAAGGTGGGGTCAAGGTCTTCCTAGGTAGATTGCAGGTCGAGAAAAAGACTTCAACCAGAGACAGAACACAGCAGAAGGCCAGCACTAGGCGTGGACCTGATGGGCTCCCTATTCCCTGTCAAAGTCCCTCTTCTGGGGATCAAACAGGCATCTTTCTAGGGTGACACAAGGAGGAGAGGAGGCCAGCAGCATCCCTATTTGTATAGACAGCCCTATGACCAGCCATCCCAACATTCCCTGCACACCTGATATTTGGATTCATTGTTGCCTTGTTAGTTTCCATCAGCCTAAAAGATGTTGTGTGTACACATCTGCCAGATGAGACCAGAACTCAGTGACTTTCACACGTCCCAGCTCATTTCTAAGAAACATACAGCTCACATCTAGTGTTGCTCTCCTTCTGGCCCCAAAGCTAGCCATGAGATAGATCTTCTGCAAAAAGTCCTGTCTGAGCCGGAGAGGCGGCTCGGTGACTAAGAGCACTCACCTTTGCAGGAAACACCTGTGTGACAGCTCACAACTATCTGTGATTCCAGTCCCAGGGGACCTGATGCCCACTTCTGACCTCCACAGGTACCCGATATGCACATGGTGCACATACATAAATGCAAGCAATACACATGCCATACTCCAGTCAGTCTTACTTTAACGCTGAGGCTTCTGGAGTTTTTGCTTCTTTCTGGTCCCTGTCGGCTGATCGCACCATGCTGGGCTGCCATTTGTTTGGGACCAGCCTCAACAAAAATACCTTTCTCCAGGGTAAAGGTGATTTAGAAATATAGTAAAGAATATGAAGACACAAATGAAAATAATAAAACGGAGAAACATATAGGATAGTATCGGGAGGGAATTCCAGTGAGTACTGAAAATTCACCTGTGTTTAATTTCCAGCTGCTTAAAATACCCTGACCCAAAAAGGTAGGAGTAAGATAAAAGACTGCATTAACATGATACAAGGAAATGAACACACCAATTGAAGGTAGCGGCTACATTCATAGCTGAACATTCTGTTGCCAGAACAAGACAAGTCATGCTTACACCCTAGACCAAAACACTCTATAGGCAAACCACTCCCTGGGTGGAATCCCAAGTTATCTTCATAAAGGGAATTGGAACGCACTTGGATCCTTAGGCTCTTTGTTTGAGGTAGGATCAATCTACTCTATTCCTGGAGCACAAGGTCTGGCTATTAACCACACCTGTATACGATAAATCACCTTGAAAGAGCAGAACTCCCTATCCAAAGTCTAGGTGGGAACTTTGTTTGAGGCAGAAGCACAATAACCTTGAAGGATCTAGAGGAAAGTTCCAACTCTCTGACCTCTGGTCAACGTGGAAACAGGCTCACATTTTCGAGCCTCCACAGGTCCCCTTGGTTTCTGGACATTGAGTAGGATTATCTGGACCCTGCCAGGTTCTTTCTCACCTCTATCCACCATCTTGGGCTTCCTGCAAACATCATCTGTTTTTCCCTCAGTTCTTCTGAGAGTGACACACTTCACTTTGAGTACCAGGTCAACTCAGAGAATAAGCAAATTTAGAACTTAAGTCTGGAGGAACACTCTCCTGGTCCCCAATGTCTTCAATGGGCCTGTGGAGCCTATAATGTTATTCTGTGGCAAAGTATTTGGCCTTGACCATACTCCCAAAGCTGTGGTTGGTCCTCCAGGCCTTGGTGGAGTGGGGAGAGTGTCCAACCCCTCTGACTTCCAAGTCCAGCAAGCAGGCCAAGAGGAAGCATAAGGATGTCATTGTTCCCAGTGGGTCAGTAGAAATTCGGTCTTTTTTGGGGGTGCATAAGCATAAGACACAGTGCCCATCTCAGTCACCACAGCTTTAGATTTTGTCTCAGGTATCTAGGGAAGACTGGCTTGGCTGTTCCCGATGTCATATCGTGGTTTAGGAGCAGACACGTGCCAGCATGCGATGCGCACAGCCCCAGGACCAGATCCTGACAAAGAAATGATAGCTGGTGAGCCCCTGAGTGCCTCCTGCCTGTAGGCGTGTTCTCCTCTCTCAGTGGTACCTGCTATCTCAGTGTCGCTCTAGCTGGTAGCTTCCAGATTAGAACTTTCTCTGGGAGGGGAACCCAGACCCAAGGTTGGAGCACCAAGAGATTCTACTTTCCCTGTGGAACTTGACCAGCCCCACCCCCTCAGTGCAGGACAAATTGGCCCAATTCTGAGCTGTGGTTTGGCTGAAGACATGATGTAGACTCATTTCCTTTACAACACTGAAGTTTCAGCCATCTCCTGCCTTTTTCTGTTTGCTGCTCACCCTGTGCTTTTGTATGAGAGAATATACAGTTCTGTAGAAGAGCAGGCCGATTATCCTGCTCTTTCCTCCCCGGGGCCAGGGTAGGGCAGGATCCGTGAGATGGGGCTGGTTGTGTTCACACAGATTGGTTGTAGAAGCTGACAGGAGCCTACAAAGGCCTGAACCCAACCTCATTCTCTAAGTTATCAACTTCTGTGTTTTATAGCTAAAGAGACTGAATTCCAGGGAAGTAAAAGCTGTAAGTGACTTGCTTACAGACATACTATGATTGAGAGACAGGGCTGGGAGCCGAGCCCAGGCTAGCATCACAGGGACAGGGACCAATTTCCTAGCCAGTAGACAGGACCTCCCTCCCACACATTGCCTGTTCCCCAATATGGTCTCCTAGATCTCCTGCCTCCTCCTGTTTGTCTACAAAGGGTGCTTTCCAGTTCTAAAGTGATCAAAATGTCATCTCTGCTGATTCAAACCCAGTGACCCATATGGGAACTGTGTGGCCTCTCCGTAACCTCAGCAAAGTCTCAATTGACTTCTCTTACAAACCGAACCCCCTGTGGCCTCACAGGCCAAGGCTGGAGATACACACTTTGGGGGGTGCAATAGGTAATTGTGCTTTAGTCCATGAGAGGGTATGGAAGATAATTGTAAGGGTCGACAAAAGAAGGCAGAGGTCCTCGGAGAGGGCCCAGGACGCTGAAATGAGCAGGACTAAGGAGGAAGAGTGAGCAACAAGACTCACCAGGAGGCACCCAAGAACGGAAAGCAGTCCATGAGTATACCAAAGCCAAGACCACATTTTCACCAAAGAGGGGAGCATGAGCAGGGCCTCACGGAAGGCTGACAGGTAAGATAAGGAGAGCAGATGGCTTCTGGAACTTGCTACCATGCAGGTGGTTGCTGGCCTTCACAGGAACAGTCTGGTGGCAGGTTGAGGATAGGAGAGCTGAGTGAGCAGACCGGAGTGGGGAGCAAAGTTCACAGCACAACTATTCCCAGGGGTTCCCTGGGAAAGGGAGCAGGGGAAAGAGTGCAGCTGTGAGGAGTGGCAGTTTCAGGAGGGCGTGGGCTTTCATTTTCAGTATTAAATAAACTTACAGTTTTACCTTTATACGGAAATCCTGAGAGTTTATCATTTCTTGCCCTTAGCTTCCTGTTTTGTTAAATTACTATGATATATGTATGTATACATATATGATGTTGATATGTGTGTGTATATATATATATATATATATATCACAACTGATATAAATGTCACAATTGATGAGCCAGTGTTAGTACATTATTTCAAGTTTGTACTTTATGGACCTGAGAGATGACTAAGTAGTTAAGAGCACTGGCTGCTCTTCCACAGGGCCTAGGTCTAATTCCCAGTACCTACATGGTGGCTCAGAATTCCAACTCCTGTTCCAGATGATCTGGCACCCTCTTCCAGCTTCCACGGGGACCAGGCATGCATGTAGTGCATATACATACATGCAGACAAAATACCCATACACATAAAATGAGCAAATAAAATTTAAAAATACTGACTATAAGGTCGGGACTTTTATTTCTTCAGTTTTTGAGCTAATTTCTTCTTCCCTTCCCCCCCCCCCTTTTTTTTGGTTTTTTGAGACAGGGTTTCTCTGTGGTTTTTGGAGCCTGTCCTGGAACTAGCTCTTGTAGACCAGGCTGGTCTCGAACTCACAGAGATCCGCCTGCCTCTGCCTCCCAAGTGCTGGGATTAAAGGCGTGCACCACCACCGCCCGGCTTCCCCCCACTTTTTTTTGTTTTAGTATTCTATCCAAGACACACTCCATTGAGCAGGCCTATGTCTTTAACCTTCTCCCAAACTTTGCTGTGTTTTTGTGATCCTGGTGTTATTCTTTTTAAAGATATAAGGGGGGGGTGGTCACACGAGGGGCGGTGGTCCCATGAGGGGCAGTGGCAGGTGACCCGAGGCCTTGATGGGTTCCCCAGGCCTCAGTGAGTCCCTTGAGGCTTTGGT